CGACACACATTAGGGTGGGTAGAATAATACATAGTGTTATATTAAATGTATAAGGTATAGGTTGGTTTACAGCAATACAGTATATAATTTAATGTTGGCAGTATATAGTACGGTATATGCTCGTGTGATACAATAGAATAAAGTTTAGATGGAAGCATATTATATAATTTTTACGACGTAGAATTGTAATGTATTACTTGCTGTTAGTAACTCAGCTTAGTGTAGAGTATAGTAAGTTTACTGATGGTGCTATGCAATTTATACTTTATTTTTTTATGTAGTTTATACTTTAGTTTTCTACGTGGTTGTTGAGTAACTGCAGCTACATATCATTAACATTCCTTTCCTTTGTTACTGCTAATCCCTGCACCCCCCCTTGGTGCTGTTGATCCTGCATAATGCATGGGCATAATATGACTTTGAAAACCCCCCGCCCACCTCCTACGCATTTACCATGTATATGCTAAATTCCTCTTCATATGCACATTCTTTTGTTAAGGCGCTCTTTCTTCCACCTCCAACGCAGCTTATATATAAGCTCCTAGCTTGGCATTGTCTCATTCTTCACCTGAGGACGGCTGCTTGCGTTGTGGCCGAAACGTCGTGAGAATTGTTTTATTATGTTTTATTTTTATTATTTTATTACTTCCCTTCTACGTGACTTTACCGAAAGAACCAAGAAGATGAATCCCTGCAGTCACGAAAGCTTTAAATCGAAATAGGTGGACTCACACACACATTGACGTAAACACACATGTACTTCCACACACACATATCGACTAAGACACACCCACATGGACTTACACACACATAGACATATGGAGTGTGACACACAGACATCCACTTTAGATACACACACATGGATGAACACACACACATCGACTGACACATAGACACACAAACGCACATTGACTTACACACTGAGATGGAGCCATGCACACACATCCACTCACACACACGCATTAACTTAGACACACACACATCGAGTGAAACACACACGTATGGACTTACACACACATGTGGACTAACACACACAGCGACTGATACGCACACAAATGGACTGACACACACACAAACACTTGTACGTACACACACACACATGGGGCGTTGTCCGTTTGAAAAAGACAGACACACACATGGACTTACACACAGACATCGACCCACACACGTAGAAACCCATCGACTTACACGCACACAAACACATATGGACTCACACACACAGACATCCACTTTAGGGACACACATGTAGTTTCTGCATACGAACATTATAATTGTAATATTAGGCAACTTATTAGTTTCATAATAGTAAACAATAAACCTCAGTTCTTAGCGAAAGATGCAATAAAAGTGAACTTTACATTGGCGTGGTGACACCTCGTCCCGAGCAGAGCCTGCGGCCTCGCCTAGATTGGCAAGCCGGAGGAGGTGAGACATTGCCAGGCTGCGGGCTGGGCTGCTACCCCCCCCACCATGCCCCCGCCCGAGGCAGAATAATACTATGTAAGCGCTTTAATAATCTTAAATTAATATCTAAGAACTTTATAGCAGTAACTGCACGCATTGGGGTGGGGGTGGGGGGAAGAGGACATCACACTGTGAAGAGAAATCGGCAGCGTGATGTGTATATTTATTCCATGTAAAACGCGTAAAATAAAATGTCCCCCGTGAGCTGTAGTGAACGCGCATCACTTGGCAGGGTCCGCCCCCCCCCAGGCAATTGTCGTGAGTTGATACGGTCGATGTCGCGCAAGAAGTAAATAATTAAAATAAGAATGCCACTAAATTGTTAATTAAACGACTTAAATGTTTAGGGACGTATTCCCACCGCGGGGCTTGGGGCGTACAGGCTGGCAAAATTTACCGGTCTAAAACCCCACCGTCCGAGAGCCAAATCCCCCGCGAGCGCGCGCGGAGACTTTTTATATATAATAAAAGAAGAAAGATTAACCCCTCCTGCCTGGGTTCTTCGCGTTTGGTAGGCGCACAGTGATGACATCACCTTACTCGATGTAAGACTGGAAACGGCAAAACTTCTTCACAATTCTAACATGTGCCTCACGATGCTGGTTGTTGTAATTACCAGCATCATTAACTCAAATGGTAAATATTGTTTGTGGGTTTTGTCTACATAATGCCACCTGATTGGCTGTGTCGAGTGGAGGTGGGTTTACGACACATCTATATATATAAAATCGCGAATCTGTCTGTCTGTCTGTGTGTGTGTGTGTCCCCGGACCATACGCACTTTCATTGGACGCCGGTTGCCCCTGCCAACGGCTAGCGACGCCTTCGCCGCTTTCATTGGACGGCGGTTGCCCCTAGCAACGGCTAGCGACGCCTTAGCCGCGGCATGCAGTATCATTGGACGGCGGTTGCCCCTGCCAACGGGTAGCCACGCCTTCGCCGCTTTTATTGGACGGCGGTTGCCCCTGGCAACGGCTAGCGACGCCTTAGCCGCGGCATGCAGTATCATTGGACGGCGGTTGCCCCTGCCAACGGGTAGCCACGCCTTCGCTGCTTTCAATGGACGGCGGTTGCCCCTGGCAACGGGTAGCCACGCCTTCCCAGCAGCGGGGTGGACGCCATGTTTTTTATTCCCGTTAAAAATAGGCGCACGCATTAACACGCGACTCTGACGTAAATTCATCAAAGTTTCACGTCCTATTCACTCCCCCCCCCACCACAATGTGTGCAATTACTATTATAGGGTCGGTAGATAATACAATTATAGCGATTAGACAGTTGGATTAGCCATGTTTGTTTGTTGTAGTACAGAGTTAGCCTCATAACTTTCATCTAAATTGTCTTATGTTTGTTATTCTTTGACTTGCATCCCACTGCGATTTTTGCACACAGCGTTGAAATACGCAGTTTTTTCCTGGAAGACTGCTGTTTTTTCCTCCAATTTTCTATTGCGTCTAATCACTTTTAGATGTTTCGTGTCCTTTTTTTATTTGTTGCGGTTGTACCCCAGTCAAGAGCCGCATGACTCTCAGTGTTATCTATATAGATAAAAAGGAAATTTGTGAATGTGTGTCTGTTAAAAATGTTTAACGTACTTCCCCACATGCAACACACTTCAAATTTGCCATGTGGGTACCTTAATAAGTGTACACCATGCTAAAATTCCAAAAATATACTTTTTTTTTATTTGGGGTGGGGCGAGCGCAATAATGCATATATTTTGCACGGCAAGTGAGCTGTCACGTCTCATCTCTGTCATGTCAGCCGCGCATGTGGAAGCGTAACGCAGTGTGCCTGCTCATGTCACCACCCCCCACAAACCCTCCGCGACGTGGGTACAGTGCCATACAAATGTCTTCCAGGTCTAAGGCGTTGTTTGCAAAGCATTGCTTTATTATTTCAGTCGTTTACTGCCGTACGCACCCTGAAAGTTGTGTGTGTCTGCTGCAAGCGCGTGTATGTGTACCTATGGACGCGTGCGCGTGTGTGTGTGGGGGGGGAGTGGAACCCGGCGACCCAAATTCGATTCCCGCTCATGGCCACCACCGGTGAGCATTATTTTAACCGCTCCTGGGCCTCCCCTAGGGCGACTCAGCCTCAAACGAGTAACTGGTGTGGTGTGTGAACATCGCCACTGGGAAGACAAAGGCGGCCGGGCGTGGTGAATCCAAGACCCGGGCGAAGCCGGGTAGTAAAGCTAGTTTCCATATATGCGATCTAACACAAAACAACTTTAACGTGAACAGGGAGAGGGGATAATAGATTTTAATCAATGACTACAACCTACATTTTTTTTACTTTTACCAGGTGAGGCCCAGTGTAGCTGTTTTTCAGAAGCCACCTGGTTATCACAACTGACAGCTCAACGAAGCGGCTTATTACGTGGAAATTTATAGCAGTGTAGTGTCGTGTAGAATCACTCAGTCAGACACGTTGTTCCAAGTCACCTGTCTTAACTTTGGAGCTTTCACCTGCTTACACTTTATTATTACACTTTATTTATTTATTACACTTTATTACTCCTATCTCTGTCTATACGGTCACTTTGTTAACCAACTTCCCCTATCTTCTTTACACCTCGCTGACCTGCCTGCGGCAGCTCTTCCTCTCAGCAGCTCCGTGTGCAGTGCGCACCGCGTATTTTACCACACTACAGCAGTAACTAAATATTCCAAACGCGTGACGTTGATACTAAATGTGGAGGGAAAAACTGGAGGACCCGGAAAAAAATCCACCATGACCACGGGGAAAGAGAGATACACGCAGATTCCACAGACACAACAGGCATCGTCAGGGTCGGGATCGAACCCACGACTTCCTGTATACCAGGTGTGATAGTTAACATCTTACCACCGCAGCTACTATGATCACCCGGTCCGTAACAAGGTGAGACTACTGTACCTCACTGACGATGTAGTAGCAATTACCAAGGCATTGTTCGTGATCGCATGGGTGTTCAACACGAGGTTCTAGATTGAAAACTAATTTATTTAGAACTGTTTTCTGTTCAATTTGTTGTCCTTCCCCCGCACCTCCGACTATCACGGTTGGCTATGTACGGTGCGAAAAAAGTTAAACATAAACACACATACAAGGGTAATCAGGATGTTGTCTACAGCAAGAGATACAAACCTGGACTCTTGGCGTACAAGTAACATTGCTCCAGTGTTGTCAGCATCACATACACATTCACATTTCGCGAGATTTGGTGAGAGAGGTGTTTCATTGTATTCTGCTTTGATGTTAATTAAATACCCTCCTGAAAATTGTCATCTCCTTCGGTGGCCAATCTTGTCACCAATACAAAAAACAAGCTACTCAGCCTCACTACAAATTTTCCCAGTGACTTCCATTTCCCCTGTACCGTATGTTGACCTTCTTTCGCACCGTACGTAGCCAACTGCGCTAATTAGATGTGCTGGGGAAAGGGAACAAATGATCACCGACACCTTTGAGAAAGGACAGGCATGATCACAGAGGGACTCAGAGAGAGTTATTCTCAACATCACGCGATCAGAGAGACCGGGGGCAGGTACCCGTCCAGGCATCCGGTGAAAGCCGTCGTGGCCTTGAAGCCCAGGATGCTGAAGATGGGAATGGAGGCGAATAGCGATGTGGCGCTGTTGATGCACGCGATGGTCACAGCATCCCTCTCGCAGTCGTTTCTGTCCCACAAAGACGAGGGACAGGAACGGGGGTGAGCATTGCACCTGGGACTTGCACATCCGACGTTTGATTCAAATGTGAAACAGGTGAGTGAAAAAAAACCTCACCACGACAGAGGAAAGCAAAGAAACGTTCTACTCTGTAAATTTGTAAAGCATTAACTCTGTAATGCTGTACCTCTATGACGCTGTAACTCTGTAACGCTGTAACGACATAACTGTAACGTTGAAAATCTGTATCGCTCTAGCTCTGTGAGGCTGTAACTGTGTAACGCTGTAAGGTTGTAACTCTGTAACGCAGCAACTCTGTTAATGCTGTAACTCTCTAACACTATAATGCTGTAACTCTATGACGTTGTAATTCTGTAACGTCGTAACTCTGTAACTCTGAAACGCTGTAACTCTGTAATGCTGTAACTCTAACGCTTTAACGCTGTAACTCTATAACGCTGTAATTCTGTAATGTTGTAACGCTGTAACACTGTAACGCCGTAACTTTTAAATGCTGTAACTTTGTTTTGCTGTAACTCTCTAACGCTGTAACTCTCGAACGCTGTAACTTTGTAATGATGTAACTCTGTAACGCTGTAACTCTGTAATGCTGCAAATTTGTAATGGTCTAACTCTGTAACGCTGTAACTCTGTAATTCTGTAACTCTGTAACGTTGCAACTCTGTAAGGCTGTACTTTTGTAAGGTTGTAACTCTTTAATGCTGTAACTGTAACTATGTAACTCTGTAAGGTTGTAACGCTGTAACTCCGTAATGCTGTAACGCTGTAATTCTGTAACGCTGTAACTCTCAAACACTAACACTGTAACTCTGTAACCAGGCTACAGTCTAGATTATAGACTGCCAGTACACTCACCAGCTTAATAACCATTGCTACAGTCTACATTATAGACTGCCAGTACACTCACCAAACGTAATAACCAGGCTACAGTCCACATTATAGACTGCCAGTACACTCACTCCGATGAAGAACCAGGCTACAGTCTACATTAGTGGGTTTTTTAATTCTTATTTTTATTTGTATTATTTTTTATTAACTTTATTTTTATTATAATTTTTCTATCTACGTGACTTTACCGAAAGAACCAAAGAATATGAATTCCTGCAGTTACAGAAGTTTTAAGACAAAATTTAACCGCCTCTACGGGGAGGGTTTCCACATAACCATAATATATTTTAACAAACTCCGAGACAAGAAAGCTCATCTGATCGAGTCACTCACATTTCTGAAGAGATTCCGCGACTCTAAGTTAATACCAATCTCATTTACACTGACTTCTGCTGCCGTCACATCTTCCAATGCCCAACGAATTTTGTTCAGGGCTAGCTTGGCCCTGATCTCAGAGATAATTAGACTGCTCCGACTGAACTAGATCATGTAGATGTAGGGATGTCAGGGGAAGGATTCCCACCAATAGGAGGGTTAGTGGGAGGGGTGATCGAGGGGATATAAGGGGAGAACAGGCGGGAAGAGGGGGCCTTTGGCGGGAACGAGATTGGGACGGCTGGGGACAGGTGTGGATGGGAGAAAAGGATTAAAAGACGAAACCCCTGCAATCTTGTGTCGGCTCTCCTTTACATAGACAAGGCACTCTTGATATAACACTTAACATTGACAGAAAAAATGCCTACATTTGATTGGGAACATGTAGATAACATGACTGCTTCATCATCTGCTACAATGTCAGCTAAATGTAAAGATAACCTGATTTCCATGTTCAACTTCCTTTCCAAGAAGAAACCAGATCATCATGTTAAAAAGTTATACGTTGACAAGGTTGTTATTAATCTGAGTAATAGTCCATTTTCCAATAGTCTAAAGTCAGTTTTGGCTAAAGGGTTGAACTTCGCAGTGGATGACATTATTGCCCATGTCGATGTAGCTCTTAAGGGTGTGGGACACATCCCTGCAGACGTGACAAGAATTTGAAATAGCTGCAACCCTCAAAAGCGCTAAGATAACAGTCAGTAACATCAGCAAGGATGAGCATTTTGCATTATTTAAATTGAAAAAGAGGGATAAGATCGTCATCCTCTCAACCGACAAGGGAAATGCCACGGTCATGGCCAAAACCGTGTACAATAACAAAGTTAAGGACCTACTTAATGATGGTAGCTACACAAAAATTAAAAGAGATCCAACCGACAGCCTCGTTACAAAAACGAACCGTATAATCACTGATTCAGCTTCATTAATTGAACAGACCAAACGGTTTTCCTTAAAACCTTCTGCTGCTAGAACACCCAGATTATATAGCATGCCAAAAATCCATAAAGAAGGTACACCCCTTCGTCCCATCGTCTCCACCATTGGCTCACCCACCTATAAACTGGCCCGATATCTATCTGAGACCTTGCAGCCATTCACTGGTAAGACAATCTCTTCTGTACTTAACTCAGCTCACCTGGTATCATCAATTAAAGACATATCACTGTCCCCAGGTGATTTTCTCGTTAATTTAGATGTAGTTTCCTTATTCACCAAGGTTCCTGTGCCCGATACCATTGCAATCAATGAAAATTTGGTCCAACAAGGATTGAATGCTGATGTACCGGCCCTGGTGAGACACTGCCTCACCAATACATACTTCACCTGGAATGGAACATTATACAAACAAACTGAAGGCACCCCAATGGGTTATCCCTTATCTCTGGTTGTAGACAATATTTTAATGGAAAATTTTGAGACGGACGCCATCCAGGCACCCACTCTACGCCCGTCGTTGTGGAAGAGGTACGTGGATGACACGTTTGTCATCTGGCCAAGCGGCTCTGAACCAATTCCTCAACCACATAAATTCCATACACCCAGTCATCAAATTCACCATGGAGGTAGAAAAAAATGGCATGCTACCTTTCTTGGATATCCTAATCAAAAAGAGACCTGTCTACAGGAAAGTAACCCATACTGACGCCTACCTAAAACCTGATTCCCACCACCATCCATCCAAGAATTATTCCCTCATCAAAACGCTACACCAAAGAGCTAAATGTATCTCCGACCATGAACACCTAACCAGTGAACTCAAACACGTATACCAAGCTCTCAAGGCGAATGGATATTCTGACTACACAATCTGCAAAGCCATTACCCCAACCGTGAGGAAGGAGCCATCTGAGGATACAATCAAAACCATCACCTTGCCATACATAGCAGGGGTAACTAAAATATTTCCAAAATCATGAACACAAGATCCAGGTCCGAATTAACACAGTACGTAAAATTTGTGATGATCCCATCTGTGAAGGACAAGATTCCTGACATGCAATATCCCGGTGTCTACAAACTAAACTGTATCTGCGGCAGTAGTTACATTTGGGAAACTAAGCGACATGTTCGTGAGCATAAGGCAGATTTGAAACAAGGTAGGATCAATACTTCTGCCGTGGCTGATCATTATTTTAATGCGGCTGGCTAACGCGAAATTGATTTCTCTAAGACGATGGTACTTTGCAAGCCTACTGGCTATCAACAAAGATTGGTTCATGAAGCCATCCATATATACAGACACAATTTCAACCGAGAGGATGGTTATAAGCTCAGCAATCATTGAAAAGATGTCATCAACCACTTTGGGTCATGACTTGATTTGTGTTTTCTTGTCAACCTCCACCGTCAGCAGTGTGGGTGTGTGGAGCAAGGTGCAATGGTTGCCTGGCAGCCCTTTGATTGGTGTAGACCTACTCGTTTTCTCCTACATTAACATTAGCTGCCCAGCCCATGCTGCTGACACATTTGGGCTACGCCTATCTCTAAACATTTATAAACAGTCTGCCTTTAGAGGCTAACCCCCCTTTTCCTGATGACTGCTTGTGTTGCGATCGAAACGTCGTGGTTTTTGTTTTTATTCATATTTTATCTTTATTACTGAAACAACCATGAAAAAGTCTACATTATAGACTGCGAGTGCGCTCACTCAGTTTAATAACCATTGCTACAGTCTACATTATAGACTGCCAGTACTCACCAAGGTTAAGAACCAGGCTACAGTCTACATTATAGAGTGCCAGTACACTCACTAAAACTTAGTAACCAGGCTACAGTCCACGTTATAGACTGCCAGTACACTCACTCCGATTAAGAACCAGGCTACAGTCTACATTAGTGTTTTTTTGTTTTTATTTTTTTTATTCACTTCATTTTTATTATCTTTCTATCTACGTGAATTTACCGAAATAACCAAAGAATCTGTATTGCTGTAACACTGTAATTCAAAAACTCTGTAAAACTTGAACGCTGTAACTCTGAAGTCCCCTCCCTCCAGGATTCGCTCTCATGAATAAAGGGAGAGAGATGACGACTGAGCGGCATCAGGAGGAGGATCCACATGCGGGAAGGAAGGCAGCAGCAGTCATGCAGTTAGGAGCCAACGACCAACCTTTGCCCAAGCTGTGACATCCTATACATATGAAGGTGTTATCGAACAACCCTTTCCTGGTCTGATGATGTACGTGTACATAATCATCTAAACGAAACCAGAAAATAAACATTAATACAAATGAACTTTATCGGTACCAAGTCTCCCATAAGGCCATGCGGGAGGACGTGTGGCACAGTTTGGCGCCAGCCATAGTAGAGTGTGCCCGTCGTGTCGCTACAGTTCTCTGCTCTGAGTACGCTGTATTTAAAATAACGACACTACGCCTCTAATTTTAATATAACTGCTTTTTGTTTTTAGATTGTTGTCCGTCCCGCACCTTCGATTAGCATGGTTGGCTACGTACGGTGTGAATGAAGTTTAACATATGTACATGCAACATATATATGTATCTAGGAGAGTTTGTGTCTCCTGTGTGAGACCACGTGACATCGTGCAACTCTGTGGATCTCCTGTGTCTCCTGTGTGAGTCTACGGGTCTCACTGCGAGCCTTTATGAGAGTGTGAGTCTCTGAGCAACTCTGTCGGTCTCCCGGGGTGAGTGTTCGAGTCTCTGAGAGAGTCTGTGGGGGTCTCAGTGCGAGGCTGTGGGTCTGTATGTGAGCCTGCACTCTATGGGGTTGTAGCTGGAGAACGCCATCATTCCTCCAAAGCCGAGACCCAGGGAGTAGAATATCTGTGTGCTCGCATCCAGCCAGACGCGTGGGTTCTTCAGAACCTCCAACTAAGGGAGAGATGGGGAGTGGAAGAGAGACAGAGATAAATGAGGATGAACACAGCTTAGAAGCTGATCGATGCCCTGGTTTCGGTCAACCAAATTACCTACGGTGATAATATTTCGTTTGACACGCAAACTGCATCTCAAAATTTTTTAGAAGACACAGACAATATATTTGTCTCTGTGTAACTTCATGGGTATCTGTGTGTCTGTGGTTCTTTGTGTTAGTCTATGGGTTATGTGAGTCTATGGGTCCCTGTGTGAGTGTATTAGTCCTTGTGTAAGGTTATATGTTTCTGTGCGACTCTATGGGTCTCAGTGTGAATTTATGGGTCTTATTCAAATTTGCAACATGGTGCTGGCAACGAAAGGGTCTACTATTCTTTCGAATTAGGTAATGGGATCTCGAATAGCCCCTGTGAATGAAGTAGAGGCTCCCACAAGGGGGAGGACGTGTGGCAGAGTTTGGCGCCAGCTATCGTAGAGTGTGGGGGTTGTGTCGCTACAGTTTGATACGGTGAATAGAATGTCTTTAAAAACAACGGTGCTACGCCTCTCTAGATAAAACTAATACTGAACCGTTTGCCCATTCCGAGATTCAACGGTGAACGGGACACCCACCCTGCAACTTGGAGTTGTCTCAGAAAGGGTTCATACAGACGGACTACTTGCTATAATATGAAGAGTCTAGCGCAGGACAAACTACTCACTATAACGCGAGGAGTCTAGCACGTGACGAACTACTCGCTATAACAAAAGGAGTCTATCTCATGACAGACTACTCGCTATAATGCAAGGAGTCTATAATTTGACAGACTACTCCCTATACCTCGAGGAGTCTAGCGCTTGACGGACTACTCACTATAACGAGAGCAGTGTAGTGTGTGATGGACTATTTGCCATAATGTGAGGAATCTAGTGTGTAATTGACTACTCTCTTTAACGAGAGGAGTCTAGCATGTGACGGACTACTGGCTATAATGCGAGGAGTCTAGCATGTGTAGTGACATGGGAGGGGAGGGGCTGCTGGGGGGCTCTAGGACCCTGGGCGGCCCAGGCGCTTGGACCCCTTGGCGCCAGGCGCTGGGTTCCCAGGCGGCCCAGACGCTTAAGCCTCTTGGCACCAGGCGTTGGGTTCCCGGGCGGCCCAGGCGCTTAAGCCCCTTGGCGCCACCAACGGGGGGGGGGGGGGGGCTGTGTGTGCTCTGTGGGATATCTGGGGGCGCACACGGCCCCACCCCTCGTTGGGGACTAGGCATAAAAGGGGAGCTCCCTGGACGATCAGGGCCAGTTGTGAGGGGCAGTTGTAGCTCAAGACCCAAGACCAGCCATCTGAGAACCCTGGGACGCTGTGAGGGCCAGTGGTGGGACTCTGGAACTCCCGACTCTACGACCTTGTGAGGGCGAGTTCCAGAGCGTAGCCAGAGTAGTGTATCTAGGCTGTGTACCTAGGCTGTGTACCTAGGCTGTAACAGAGTATCAGGACTGTTGGAGAGTTGGAGAGTTGGAGTGTTGGAGTGTTGGATTGTAATAAAGAAGTTACCTCTACAAGTGTCTCCGGAACCCGTTACACATGTGACAGACTGCTCACTATAATGTCAGGAGTCTAGACTGTGATGGACTATTTGCTATAACACGAGGAGTCTATGGAGTGGTGGATTGCTCGCTATAGCGCGAGGAAATTGGTGTCTGACGAACTACTCTATAATGTGAGGAGTATAGCGTGTGATGGACGACCCGCGATAACGCGAGGAGTCTAGCATGTTATGGACTGCTCGCTACAATGAGAGCAGTCTAGTGTGTGACAGACTATTTGCCACAAAACGAGGAGTCTAGTGCATGACGGACAACTTGCTAGAATGTGGCGAGTCTAGCTTGTGACGGACTACTCGCTATAATGCAAGGAGACGAGTGAGTGACAGACTACACGCTATAACGCAAAGAGTTTAGCATGTGACAGAATGCTCGCTATAATGCAAGGAGTCTAGCGTGTGACGGACTACTCGCTATAATGAGAGCAGTCTAGCGTGTGATGGTCTATTTGCCCTAACGAGAGGATTCTTGCATGTGACGGACTACTCGCGATAACACAAGGAGCCTAGCATGTGATGGATTGCTCGCTATAACGTGTGTAGTCTAGCGCGTGACGGACTACTCGCCATGACATGAGTCTAGCTCATGACAAATTACTCCCTTAAAGATGAGGAGCCTAGCATGTGACAAGACTACTCACTATAATGCATGGAGTCTAGTGTGACAAACTACTCGCTATAACGCGAGACGAGCGAGTGACAGACGGCATGCTATAATGCAATCTAGCGTGTGATAGAATGCACACTATAACGAAAGTAGTCTATCATGTGACGGACTACTCGCTATAACACAAGGAGATGAGCGTTTGTCGGAATGCTCGCTATAATGCAAGGAGTCTAGCATGTGACGGACTACTCGCTCTAATGAGAGCAGTCTAGCGTGTAACGGTATATTTACCCCAACGCGAACAGTCTAATTTGTGACGGACTACTTGCTATAACGCAAGGAACCTAGCACGTGATAGATTGCTCGCTATAACGTCTGGAGTCTAACACGTGACTGACTACTCGCCATGACATGAGTCTAGCTCATGACAGATTACTCCCTTAAAGATGAGGAGCCTAGCATGTGACAAGACTACTCACTATAATGCAAGGAGTCTAGCGTGTGACGGGCTGCTCGCTATAACGTGAGGAGTCTAGCTTGTGACGGCCTGCTCGCTATAACACGAGGAGTCTATCTTCTTGGTTCTTTCGGTAAAGTCACGTAGAAGGGAAGTAATAAAATAATAAAAATAAAACATAATAAAATAATTCTCACGACGTTTCGGCCACAATGCAAGCAGCCGTCCTCAGGTGAAGAATGAAACACAATTATTTTATTATGTTTTATTATTATTATTTTATTACTTCCCTTCTACGTGACTTTACCGAAAGAACCAAGAAGATGAATCCCTGCAGTCACGAAAGCTTTAAAACGAGGAGTCTAGCTTGTGACGGCCTGCTCGCTATAACATGAGGAGTCTAGCTTGTGACTGACTACTCCCTATAAAGCAAGGAGTCTAGCTCGTAATAGACTACTTTTCTGAGAGGCTTGGGTGTTGGCAGCGTTCTTTTGTAATGGTTGGAACTGGTACTGTAGTTTTGTCGTACTGGTAATTATCAATCTTTACTTTGTTTGGCAATATTACCCTCAATAACTTATGCATCAGTGCACATTGCAATGAAACGGGAACGGTGCAGTGTTGTATATGTCGAATTATGAAATTTTGATTAAAATAATGAAAATCAATAAAATTAAAAAAAATGCGTAAAGCGCATAAATTATGTTAATGTGTGTAATTATATGCATAAATTATGATAATCACTGGGATATTCGTAGTAATTTATGCGAATGCTTGCGATTATGTTAATGTGTGCAATTATGATAATTAGGCTTAGCTTCGTTATCCAGAGTTGTATCAATCAGGATAAAATGATTATCTTTGATTAACCATTTATTGATTATCCTAGTGTGTTTATGTTGTGTTATGTTAGGTCTCCAAGTTCATATCTCATCGCAGGTAACAGTTCTTATGAATAAGACAGTTTTGCATGGACTGGGAAAGAAGCACTCGAACACTTGGTGTTAAGCAATTTTAATTCTAAACAAACATATGACCTCTAAGATGCAAAGGCAAAAGTATACGTCATTAGATTCATCGGCAAGATTATGCAATTAACGAAAATAAATGACTAAAACATTCTTATTCATGTAACTCGACGGCAGCAACTGCTTTGCACAATCAGTTATTATTGAACGCACCACCTTGAAATGGCAACCCTTTTTGAAACGCAAAGATAACTTTTTGAAAGTCTTATTCGTGTGCGTGTTGTATGTGTGTTGTATTGTTCCCTTGATAATTAATATTTTAAGTAGAGGCAGGGCGCTGTGTCGGAGCTTGTGGGGTGGAGGAGGATACAACCAGCGGCCAGAGATTCCTTCTCGCTTGGGCGTGGCCGCAGCGAGCCCGTGCTGCTCCCTCACTCGGGCGTGTCTCTGCTCGTGCGCTCTCTCTCTCCACTGCTCGATGACGAGTTGGCACGACGCTCGCCGACGTGGTGCGCAATGATTCCGTCGTCGCTGCTGGACGTCTTGTCTGTTCTCACTGGGTGTTGGTCGGTGTGTGTGTATCAAACACACGGCGCATTCGATGGCGCTCTCTCTCTCTTGGTGGCAGCTCCAGGCTTCTCCATTGCTGGATGATTATTGAGTCGGCACGATGCTCGCCTTCGGCGGTGTGCGATGATATCGTCGTCGCTCTCTCCTTGATCGCTGCCAACTTCACATGGACACTCGCCCTTACTTCAGGCTGTGTTGGCTCAGGCTCTGGACGACGCGGCTGTGCGCGCTCGCCGGCGCTCTGGCGATGAACGATGGCTCTTGTTGCTCATCCGCTGCTGCCCGTCCTTTTCGATGCTCGCTTGGTCGACGCTTGGCGATTTCCGCCCTTCCTACAGGTTGATTGCTGGTTGTCATTCGTCACTCTCTCTTCTCCGTGCTTTCCTTTGTTCGTGCAGCTGCCAGCTTCACTCGCACTTAACCACACCTCGACACTTCGTTCTGCGAGAAGCAACACCTGCCATCGGTATCGGTGTTTGCTCCCTCACGACGCTCCGCCAGCCGGAGCACGGCTGAAACCCAGCCTCGACCCAGGTTGAACTCAGACTTCTGCGACTCGAACGACCCCTCCTCGTTCCATCTCTCTTCGAGGCACGATCCGCCCCAGCTCCCTTGCGAGCCCCGTCGCAACGCCGCGTCGCAAGCCGAGTTGCAAGACTGAGCGCGACTCGAACCAGACTGCACTCAGACTGTCACTCTAACGACCTCTCGTCGTCCCATCTCTCCTCGAGGCATGATCCGCCCCAGCTCCCTTGCGAGCCCCGTCGCAACGCTGCGTCGCAAGCCGAGTTGCGAGACTAAGTACGACTCGAACCAGACTGCTCATTCGTGATGTGCGCTTGTGCTTAAACTCAAAAACGTGAACCCCTCCCCTCTGCGCATCTCTTGCGAGAGAAACAACAACCGAAAAACAGACGTCCCAGCTATGCCAGCACAGACCCCCCCCCCTCGCGACCCTTTGACCCCTCCTCCCTCTGAGTGGGTCATTCCGAGGCCAGACCCCCAATACGTATTCAGGCTGGTATGTGTTTGTGCCAAATCGTTGGAAGACAAAGGTGGTCGAGGAGATTTTTTCAATACATTTATGTGATCCTGTGTGTTACATTTATTCTTGAGATTTCGTATGGATTCCTTCGGTCTTAGTATCGTGGTAATCATTCGTCTATGTTTAATGAATATTCGTAATGATCCTCGTTACATCATTATTTTGAGGGCTTTGCCAAGTTTGGTTATGCGTTTGTCTCCAGGGATTGGTGTTTTATTCTGAGTTATATTTTAATGTCCTGAGGTTAAGTGTAACTAAGTTTCCACTTAAGCTTTCTGGAATTCGTATTCTTTAGTTTTTAGGAAGGTCATGTAGATAGAAACATACAATACAAAATAATATATAAGCGGTGAGTACGAGTAATATAAGGGAATATCTAATAACAAGCCCCTATTGTTTGCTGGTTAATTATTTTTGTTAAGTTTCTACTTTTCGTAAAGGAAAACGTTAAAGAAAACGCGAATTACAATAGTTGTTTTTCTCTGCTCTGCACCTTATCCGTGCATCTCCAGACGTCTTGGGAAGGTTAGGCCATCGACCTTTTGTCAATCTGGATGTCTCTGACCTCTCTGTGCTCTGAAATCTTGCCACTTAATGGCCCTCCCCGTTTCACAGATTCCTGGTGTGCTTGTGAGGAGTAGAGGCTGTTTTAATTATTTCATTTAAAAAAATATATATATGTAAAAAAAAACATTTTTAAAAAAATTATTCTTAATATAAATTTTTGAAAAACAGGGCATAGATACAACAGCAGTCACTACCTATGTACGTATGTCCCCACTGGTACTGTAGTACTGTATGTATGTTGAACTTATTTCGCATCGTACATAGCCAAATATGCTAATCGGAAGGACAACAAACTAAACACAAAAATATATAATAAAAAAGACGAGTTTTCAATCTTGTTCAGAGTTTGGGACTAAGGTACGCGGAATTTCTTTACCTGCGTCGCGACTTGTGCTATAGACCGGGTTCGTATTGATTTTTTTTAAATGCTTGGCTCCAGTGGTGGATGGGCACAGTAGTAGGTCATGGTGACCAAACTCCTTCTTAAAGTAACATAACAATCGATGCCTCTACAAGTGTCCATATGGGCATCGATAAATGCGTAGTCTATTAACCTTATTCGGCACCATACTAACTAGTGTAGTCGAAGATAATAATTAAAAACAGAAACAACCACAAAGCGCGGCTCACTCTAACTCGCACCGTAGCTCCAACCTCAAAATGTGATTTGTCTCTACAAAAACGGAGACTCACCTTGGGAGTAAAGAGGTACGCGAGTCCGTCAGTCGCTCCCTCCAGCGTGAGTCCCCTCACCAGGAAGCACAGCAGAATCACGTAGGGGAACGTGGCCGTCACGTACACCGCCTGAACACAACATCACCTAAAATCCAATATCCATACGCGAGTCTATGGGTCTCTTATTGCGCGAGTCTCTTGTGTCTCAGTTTGAATCTGTGGGTCTCTGCAAGTATGCTCTTCTTTGTGTGAGTCGGATTATCACAGTTGTCTACGTATGGTGCAAATAGAAGTTCAAAATACGAGTATATATCCGCGAGAATATGGGTCTCTGGGTGGATCTATTGATATCTGCAATAGTCTAAGGGTCTCTGTGAGTCTGCATGTCTCCCTGTGCATCTATGCATCCGTGCTAGTCTATGGGTCTTATGTGTGAGGTGACAACCTACGACCAGGTAAAGCCCACTGAGCTATGTACAGTGGCTCTTTTTTAGAAGCAACTTGGTCACAAATGATAGGTCAACGAAGTGGCTTATAATTTTCAAATTTATTGCAGTTGATTCTAAATGTGTAGTGATAAACTGGAGAACCTGGAGAAAAATCCCGAGTTACCACAGGGGGAGACACGAAAACTCCAAATATACAAGCGTCAGGATTGGGATCGAATGCACGACCTCCTGCATACCAGCCGAGAGAGATAACATCTCGGGTTCATGCAAGTCTATGGGCCGGCCTCTGCGTGAATCTACGTGAATCTACGTGTCTCTCTGTGCATCTGTGCGTCCATCCGAGTCTGTGTGTGGGTCAGTGGGTCCATGCGACTCTGTGGGTCTCTGATTGGTATTACGTGTCTCTCTGTGCATAAGTGGGTCCGTGTGAGTCTGTGGGTCTATATGTGAGTCAGTGGATCCATGTGAGTCTGGGTCTCCGTGTGGGTCAGTGAGTCCGTTTGAGTCTATGGGTCTATATGTAGCTCAGTGGGTCTGTGTGAGTCTGGGTCTATGTGTAGGTCAATGGGTCCTGCTTGTCTGTGGGTCTATGTGTGGATCAGTGGCTCCGTGCGAGTCTCTGGGTCCATGTGTGGGTCAGTGGGTCCGTGCTAGTCGATGGGTCTATGCGTGAGTTACTACGTCCATGTGAGTCTGCAGGCCTCCATTGGGACGCTGCCCACACCTTGCCCGTGCTCTCGATGCCACGGAGCGTGCACAGGTAGACTGCGGCCCACGCCGCCATGAGGCACAGCCCGAGCCACCACTGGATGCCCCCGCTCTCTTCCAGCGTGCCAGTCACGTTTAACGTCTCACGGTACCAGAAGTGATCCACGGGATGGCTCCGCAAGCACTCTGGCAGGTAGTCTGCATGCGGTCAGTTTGACAAACTAATTAAACATTCGCTGCTGCCATGGGCAGCATGTCCCGCACCTCCGATTAAAACTGAACTGAACTCTTTTTTTATTTTACCACGTAGGGCCCACTGAGCTATACAGCTTTTTTTTCAGAAGCGACCTGGCCACAAATGAAACCTCAGTGAAGTGGCTTATCATGTGGACATGTATAGCAGCCAAATACTTTAAACGCATGTTTTTTTTTATTGTGAAGGGAAAAACCGGAAGACCCAGAGGAAAATCCACATGACCACGGGGAGAACATGCAAACTCCAAATATCGAGGCATCACGGTCAGGATCGAACCCATCACCTCCTGTATACCAGGTGAGGTAGTTAACATCTCACCCATATATACGTTGCGATATAAGTTCAACATTCATTCGCAATCAACAAAACAACTCCACAGGGTCTGTGTGAAAAACACCCATCAACATTCTGGTCAATAGTAGTGTTATGGCCTTAGAAGGAAAAACTATAAAATAGCATTTTTCGGCAATGGCCCTTCTTTCGTAGCACTTCAACGTGACCTATTACACACGTTTCCTTTGAGTGAGTGAGAATTTTATGAAAAAGGCTCGCGCACCCTGCTCCGCTATCAGCCATGCTTTCGGCAAAAACATTTCGGAGGTCAGGCTTTTTCAATCTCCAAGTGCACTGGCTTGGAGCAACACGATGGCGAGATATTAACTTCCTTGCCTGGTATGCAAGAGGGGGGGGGGGGGGGGTTCGATCCGGACACGAACGAAATGTGCAGTGGATACCTACGGGCTATTTTCCCATGGATCGTGATGATGATGCATTTTCACGTGATAAGCAACTTCATTAAGCTATCAATTGTGGCCTCTTTGCTTCTGAAAAAGAAACTAATATATCAGTGGGTCCTTACCTGGTAAAATACAATTGTTTAGTTTTATTTGTATATGTTTATTAAATTATTTGTTTACCTTTCCTATACTTTGCACTTCTATCTTGTTTTTGTACTGTTTGTTGTAATGTTCTGACCCCATGCCCCTCCCGGACATCTGTGAAAAAGAGCTTCATAGCTCATCGGATTCCACCAGTATTAACAAATATTCTTATTCTGTATGTTTATTAATGAATGGGTGAGTGAATGAATGAATGAGGAGATCAGAAGTATCCAGTCACCATCTCCTTGCTCATTGAGTGGGCAGTTCTTCCACGGCAGGGGCTCCTCAAATGAGTTGAAGAAGTACCAGAGAATCCACGCGAGGATGGCGTTGTAGTAGACACCCACGAGGAAAGAGATCAGCATGGACGTTACCCCTGCACACAAAGACAAAGACCCCACCCCCCGTATAATCTATTAACAGACTGATGTGGCAAGTGCTGTTAGCGAGTAGCACCAATGAAGGTCGGCATGGCACACAAGGGGGTGGGTGGTCAGCACCACGCCCGACTGCCTTTGTATCCCCAGTGGCGATGTTTACACACCGTACCAAGTACTCGTTTAAGGCTGAGTCTACCTAGGGGACGCCCAGGACCGATTCAGATAATCGTTATTACTGGTGTGATAGCGGGATTCGAACTCGGGTCGCCAGGTTCCGAGCACAGCGCACAAACCGTTGCACCAACGCTTTCCACGATTGGGATCAAACAACAGCAACATCGCCCCTAGTGAAACATAAACGTGGCAAGGGAGGTGAATCGGTTAAGGGCAAAATATGTAAGATGGTCGCATATGAGCCGTGGTACCGTACCTAGGCCTCCGAGCAGGGGGTGAATGGCATTCCACACTCCCACGCTGCCTTGCCTCAGCCTCTGGCCGATGGCAAGCTCCAGGTGGATGATTGGTATTCCCTCCACCACCAGGCAGATGAAATATGGGATGAGGAACGCACCTGTATGGAGGAGGAGAGGGGAAGTGATTATTCACTGTGCTGGATGAACGCCTTAATTCAGCCAACATAATTTTTTATTAATAAGAGTTCAAAATAAATTCGTTTATATAGCAACGTCATTCATGCTAATTGCATCCCCAACGCTGTACATTAATTATATATATCAAGGCCAAATCCTCTTGTTTATAGCAACTACTAGCAGTGAGTACCCGGCGTTGCCTGGGCGAAAAAAGCAGACACACATGGACTTATACACAGATTTCGACCCACACACATAGAAACACATCGACTTAGACGCACACACACACATATGGTTAAACCCAGGATGGATCGTTAGCAGGCCAGCCTAAATGTTTGTAACCGGCGAATGTTCCATTAGGGGGGTGCACGCTTCGCAAGCGTAGAGAAGGGAGGGAATTACCATGGCCGAGAAGACCTGGAGCTTCATGCGCAGCGAGAGACCAGGTAGCTTCCACACAGCGTAACGCAGCCGATGAAAAGAGAATGGCACTCGACTGATTTGGAGTGAGACCTCTGCTGTTAAACCGGAGGCGGTCATGAGCACACTGGCCAGGTATGGGAATCTCTCCGATCTCTCCACAACTGCCGCATCACCAATTGTGAGTTGTGGGGGTGGATTGTCCGATGGTACAAAATACCCAGGCAGGTGCTTAGTTTTGGTGGGGCTGATGGTAAGGCCCCACCTCTTAGTGAGCAGCAATCACCAGAGCATCGGCATATATAACATGGTTGAGCAATAGGGAGGCATCCCTTGACCGCACCCGGGCATCGGTCAGCCTCCCATTGTATCTATACCATATGGTAATTCCTCGGGTACAGCCATTGAAGGCTTCACGAACTACGTGGTCAAAAGATATGTTAAATAATGTGGAGCCAGAGGACATCCTTGTCACACCCCAAGGTGTAGAGGGAATGGCTCTGACTGACGGCCACGTAGTTTGACGTGGGGTCGCTCACCATCATGAAGGTCCTTAAGGATCATGAGCAAAGTGTGAGGGACTCCGAAAGCATGAAGAACAACCCAGAGGCCAGGCGGACTGATGGTGTCATAGGCCTTGAGCAGGTCAATAAAGCACATACATTCACTCACGCACACATGGACCTACAGACACGCAAAGAAATGGACTTACACTGACTGACATGGAGCCATGCACACAAAGCGACTAACACAGACGCCCATGGACTGACACACACAGACATATCGACTCACACACACAAACACATGGACTTACACACACACACATGGACTCAAACACGCATATACATGCACTTTAGATACACACACATGGAGTTACACACATATCGACGTACACACATACAGCGACTCACACACAGACATAGGTGGACTCACACACAGATTGACGTAAACACACATGTACTTACACACACACATATCGACTAAGACAAACATACATGGACTTACACACACATAGACATATGGAGTGTGACACAGATATCTACTTTAGATACACACACATGGATGAACACACACACATCGACTGACACATAGACACACAAACGCACATTGACTTACACACTGAGATGGAGCCATGCACACACATCCACTCACACACACACATTAACTTAGACACACACACATCGAGTGAAACACACACGTATGGACTTACACACACATGTGGACTAACACGCACAGCGACTGATACGCACACAAATGGCCTGACACACACAAACACTTGTACGTACACACACACACACACATGGGGCGTTGTCCGTTTGAAAAAGACAGACACACACATGGACTTACACACAGACATGGACCCACACACATAGAAACCCATCGACTTACACGCACACAAACACATATGGACTCACACACACAGACATCGACTTTAGTTTCTGCATACGAACATTATAATTGTAATATTAGGCAACTTATTAGTTGCATAATAGTAAACAATAAACCTCAGTTCTTAGCGAAAGATGCAATAAAAGTGAACTTTACATTGGCGTGGTGACGCCTCGTCCCGTGCAGAGCCTGCGGCCTCGCCTAGATTCGCAAGCCGGAGGAGGTGAGACATTGCCAGGCTGCGGGCTGGGCCGCTACCCCCCCCACCACCCCCCCGCCCGAGGCAGAATAATACTATGTAAGAGCTTTAATAATTTTTGATTTAAAGCTTTCGTGACTGCAGGGATTCATCTTCTTGGTTCTTTCGGTAAAGTCACGTAGAAGGGAAGTAATAAAATAATAAAAATAAAACATAATAAAACAATTCTCACGACGTTTCGGCCACAACGCAAGCAGCCGTCCTCAGGTGAAAACCAGGTCCGTCGAGGCGACAGAGTCTGAATGAAACAGCACACGAGCTTGGAGCATATATATAAGCTGGGCGCATTGACAAAGGAATTTGCATATCAAAAGGAATTTAGCATATTTATGGGAAATGCAGGAATGTGATTAGTACTGCATATGCATGTGCATTATGCAGGATTAACAGCATCAAAGGGAGCTGCAGTTACTGCTGCTGCAGCAGTTGCTGCTGCTGCAGTCACTGCTGCTGCTGCACTTGCTGCTGCTGCACTTGCTGCTGCTGCACTTGCTGCTGCTGCACTTGCTGCTGCTGCAGTTGCTGCCTTATCCATTTTAATATAACACTATGTATTATTCTACCCACCCTAATGTGTATCATACTGCTATATGTTTACTGTACAATTACGACACCATACATTACTCTGCACACTGCACCATGCCAGTGAGTGGAACGCGGTCTGAAAGTCACCGTTAACGTGAACACAATCAGTTAAGATCCGAAATGGTTTATTACGTCCTTCCAATGATTGCTAAGCCAGAATCCATCTTCTCGGTTGAAATTGTCTCTGTGTTTGTATATGTGGATCGCCTCATGAACGAATCTCTCATGATAGCCAGATGGCTTGCAGAGAACCTCTGTCTTGGAGAAGTCAATGTCATGTGAGCCCACTGAATTGTAACAGTGATCTGCCACGGCTGAGGTGTTTGTCCTACCGTGTTTCAGGTCTGCCTTATGTTCACGGATGCGGTCCGAGACATGTCGTTTGGTTTCTCCAATGTAACTGCTACCACAGAGGAAACTTAGTTTGTAGACGCCAGGGTACTGTATGTCTGGAACCACATCTTTTACAGACGGGACCAGATCACGGATTTTATGTACTGTGTTGAATCGGACCTGGATCTTGTGCTCGAGTAGATGTAGCTCTCAAGGGCTTGAGTCACATCGCTGCAGACGTAGCAAGATCTGAAATCTCTGTAACCCTCAAAAACGCTAAGATGCCAGCTAGCAACATCAGCAAAGATGAGCGTTTTGAATTAGCTCAATTAAAAAAGAGGGATGACATTGTCATCCTCTCAGCCGACAAAGGCAATGCCACTGTCATCATGGACAAAATAGAATACAACAACAAAATTCAAGAACTACTCAACGATGGCAGCTATACAAAAATAAAAAGAGACCCCACCAACAGCCTCGTCTCCAAAACCAACAACATCATTTCTGCTTCAACCGCATTAATTGATCAGACCAAACAGTTCTCGTTGAAACCTTCTGCAGCCAGGCCACCAAGATTGTACGGCTTGCCAAAGATACATAAAGAAGATACACCTCTTCGTCCCATTGTCTCTACTATCAACTCCCCCACTTACAAACTGGCTCGTTTTTTGTCCGAAATCCTACGGCCTTTCACTGGAAAAACCACCTCTGCAGTACTAAACTCTACTGACCTGGTATCGACAATCAAGGGGATTGCCCTGTCCCCAGACGACCTGCTTGTCAGTTTTGATGTGGTTTCCTTGTTCACCAAGGTGCCTGTGCCTGACACCATCGCAATCATTGAAGACTTGGTTCATCAAGGACTGAATGCTGGGGTACCCCCCCTGGTGAGACACTGCTTAACCAATACATACTTCACCTGGAATGGAACCTTCTACAAGCAAATTGAGGGCACCCCAATGGGCCCCCCCCTATCTCCGGTTGTAGCCAACATCTTCATGGAGAAATTTGAGACGGACGCCATCCAGACTGCCACTCTACGCCCGACCTTATGGAAGAGGTACGTAGACGACACTTTTGTCATCTGGCCACATGGCCGGCCTGCTCTAGACCAATTTCTCGACCACATCAATTCCATACACCCAGCCATCAGATTCACCATGGAAGTCGAAAATGATGGCAAGCTACCCTTTTTGGATGTCCTAATCAAAAGGAGACCTGATGGTTCAATGAGCCACTCTGTCTACAGGAAAGCCACCCACACGGATGCTTATCTAAAACCGGATTCCCACCACCATCCATCCCAGAAGAATTCCCTCATCAAGACTCTATATCATAGAGCCCAATGCATCTCCGACCATGAACACATTTCCAGTGAACTCAAACACGTACGCCAAGCTCTTAAGGCTAATGGTTACTCCGACTACACAATCCGCAAAGCCATCACTCCAACCATCAAGAAGGATCCTGTTGAGGAGCCTTTCAAGACCATCACCTTACCCTACATTGCTGGGGTCACAAAAAAGATCTCCAAAATCCTGATTAAACACAAGATCCAGGTCCGATTCAACACAGTACATAAAATCCGTGATCTGGTCCCGTCTGTAAAATATGTGGTTCCAGACATACAGTACCCTGGCGTCTACAAACTAAGTTGCCTCTGTGGTAGCAGTTACATTGGAGAAACCAAACGACATGTCTCGGACCGCATCCGTGAACATAAGGCAGACCTGAAACACGGTAGGACAAACACCTCAGCCGTGGCAGATCACTGTTACAATTCAGTGGGCTCACATGACATTGACTTCTCCAAGACAGAGGTTCTCTGCAAGCCATCTGGCTATCATGAGAGATTCGTTCATGAGGCGATCCACATATACAAACACAGAGACAATTTCAACCGAGAAGATGGATTCTGGCTTAGCAATCATTGGAAGGACGTAATAAACCATTTCGGATCTTAACTGATTGTGTTCACGTTAACGGTGACTTTCA